GACCCACAAGTAAACAGGAAATTACAGCTCAGTGCGTTAAGTGCCTTGAAAGGAATAAGCCAGGATGTCCTTGAAGCACATGGGGAGGAGGAGGTGGCTTATTTATTTGTGAGACTTTCACAAGGATTAATCAATTACTAGAGTAATTGTGGTGCCCTGGTGGCGCAGTGGTTAAGAGCTATGGCTGCTAACCAAAAGGTCAGCAGTTTGAATCCACCAGCTGCTCCTTGAAAACCCTATGGGGCAGTTCTACTCTGTCCTATAGGGTTGCTATGAGTCAGAATTGACTTGATGGCAATGGGATGGAGAGTAACAGTGTTTTATTTGGTTTTGCTTTCAAATGTCTGTGAAAGACAAAAGCATCATCCTAGTAACGAGTAATATCACTAACTGTGTCTCACCTAATCACTACATCCAAATATGCCTGTAAGACTGAATGTCAGTCTAATAAATGCCTGGGTATTTTCCTCTTCTATTTTGCATAGAGATTTAATACACAATCAACAGATTCGCCTCAGACCATTGCTTTCTGTATCTATAAAATGATATTACTACTACATGCCAGAGGTATTGAGGTTGAATAGAAAATAATAGTTAAATCTATTGAGAAAAAAAAGTATTATCCTATGATTAGTATCAATAAGATAAAATGAATCACAGTGTTTTTTATCCTAAAATAATTAGCAGAATAATAAAATTCACACAGAAGACAAGGTTTCAAATCATCGATATGTCCTGAATCATCAAGGTCACTGTGGTTCCTCTGACTTTTCTCTGCCTTCACTGTCCTTGGCCACCCCAGGCACCTAATGCTGCTTCCTTTTCATGTAGGAATTCCCTCCTCCTGTGACTTCTTTGGAGCCCTCCTTGAGAGTCCATCTGCTAACCAAAACATCGGCAGTTTGAATCCACCAGCTGCTCCTTGGAAGCCCTAGGGAGTAGTTGTACTCTGTCCTATAGGGTCACTGTAAGTCGGAATCTACTCGACTGCAACAGGTTTGTTTTTGTTCTTTTTTTCTGTACTTCTTTATTTGCTAAGTCACCTGATTTTCCCATATCTAGAGCTATTCTTCTCTTATTCACATCTTCAGTTAGCCTATGTATCCCTCCCGCTTTGAACTGCCGTAAGCCCTAAACTCTCCCATCTTCTCTTTCCTACAGCTTCAATGAAAGGGAGTCTTACATTTTTATCTCCAACCTCACTAGTTCAGTATGTCTACAGTGGAAATTCTCTTCATCTTTACATTCAGTTCTATCTCTGGATGTTTCCAATGGTAACATCGTTATTCCAGATCACTAGGTTCAATATTTTGGAATCAACTATTCCCTCCACAACCAGTAAGTCACTTTACAGTATGTATTTCTTCATTAATACCATTTCTAACACTGTTTCTACTAATATCATTCAATTCAGAACCTAAAGTTTTATGTCTAAATTCCAGAAGTTGTCTCCTCACAACTATCCTTATACTGTTTCTCTTTCCAAGTCCTAATTCTCTTACATCGCACTACTAATCTAATCTTCCTAAAACAGCACACTGCACCATGACATTCATGCTCAAAACCATTTCAACATACCCTATTATCTATTTCAGTCAGACTTTAAAATTTCTCAAACCAGTGAAACCTCAAAAACAAACAAAAACAGGCTCAGACAGGCTTGCCAGCTAATCATTCTGCCAAATAAAAATTTACAAAATAGAGGAGGAAGAAGAGGAGAAGGAGGAGGTAAAGGAATATAAAGGAAAGAAAGAGAAGCAGAGACAGAGGAAGGCTGGGAAAAGGGAGACAGAAGGGAGGAGGAAAGAAGGGCCTGATAAATCACTGTAGTCCAATTTTTCTAAATAAAAGTTCATTTTAACTTTAAAATGGCAGGAAGAACGATTTCAGAATAAAAGAATCCCTTCAAAAGTTGAATAAATCTAGCATTATGAAAAAATTAATCCACTTTCTTTCCTTTTTTTTTATTTCAACACTGACATCTCTGGGTGGTGAAGTTTGGGAACCACAGGCCTGGTGGATAAATGTAAACTAATGCTATTGATAATCTGGTTTATCATTTCTATTTCTTCCGCTTATTTCCACTTCAACCAAATGGGTCTATTCATGATTTCTTCAACACTCCATACGCACCCCAACACTACTTGAAATTTATTTGTAATGTGTTTTCCCATTCTCTCTCCTTGCTTAAGTCCTGTCCTCCCTTTAAGGCCCAGTTTGTCTTGGTTCCCCCATAAATACAAAACCTTTCTCTGGCACTCTTTTCCTCCTTGCTCTGATCTCCTACAAGCTATTCTTGTGGAATTTGGTTGACTACTTTGTCCCAATTTGTATCTCCAATCCAGACCTCTTTCTAGAAGATATATATTCAATTGCCTGTCTGACATGTCCACTGAGATGTCAAATGTTGTTGTTAGCTGCCGTGAAGTTGGCTCTGACTCATGGTAACCTTACCTATAACAGAACAAAATGCTGCCCAATCCTGTGCCGTCTTCATGATCATTGTATGTTTGAGGCCATTGTTGTGGCTATTGTGTCAATCTGCCTCATTGAAGGTTTCTCTTGTTTTTGCTGACCTTCTACCAATAGGCAGCACAACCCTAACTCAACATATCTACAAGTGAAATCCTGATCTTCTTCCAAAAACTGCTCTACACATAAGGAAAAACAAAATAAAATGAAAAAACAAACCCATTGCCATCTAGTCAATTCTTACTCTAGGCAACCCCATGTCTTAACAGAGTAAAACTGAGCTCCATAGGTCCCTGGGTGGTGCAAATGGTTTGCACTCGACTACTAACTGAAAGGTTGGTGGTTCAAATCCTCCCAGCAGTGCCATGGAAGAAAGGGCTGGTGATCTGCTTCTGTAAAGGTTATGACCAAAAAAAAACCTATGGAGCCCTACCCATAGCCTTCCCAGTTTCCCAGTTCAGCTGATGGCAATCATCTTTTCATTTGCATAGTCCAAAACTCTTGAAACTATTATTAATTTCTTTCTTTCTCTGAAACCCCACATCTAATCTATTAGGACATCCCAGAGGCTCCACCTTTAAAATATATTCCAATCCAACCACTTCTCACCACCTCCACTGTTATCACCCTAGTGAAGCCACATTTTCCCTGTCCTAGATTACTGAAATAGCCATATAATTGGCCTCCATGTTTCCACTTTTGCCCCTATCTGAAGTCTACTTTCTCACAGCTGCCAGAGTGATCCTTTAAAAACATTATTAAATCATGTCACCTTCCAGTGGTTCCCCCTTTCATTCAGAAGAAAACCTCACGCCCTTACAATGATTACAAGACCATAGATCTTACAATATCTGCTCGCCTCCCCTTCCTCTCTCCTCATCTCTTCCTATTCTCCCCTGGCTATTTCCACCCCAGTCTCCCAGACACTTTGGTGTTCCTTAAACTTGCCAGATGCAATCCCATGTTAGACTTTGTTCTAGCTGTTCCCTCTGCATGGAACACTCTTTCCGCAGATGGTCTTCAGGGCTAACTCCCTCACATTCCTCAAGTCTCTGCTCAGATCTCACCTTCTCAATGAGACCTACCTCAACCCCCATATTTAATATTGCAACTTGCCCCTTCATTTGCTCCCCATCTCTGACATAACTAATGTCCCTTTTTCTGAAACCATGTTACTTATCTTCAACCACTCAAGACTAGTAAGACCTAAGAAGACTTTCTTAGAGCACATGACCTATAAATTCCAGATGAGTCATTTAACTTCAGCATCCTGGTACACTGGAATCATGTATGGTTACAGAATAAGGACAAAGGCTTGTTTTCCTGCTTTTGTGGAAGAATGGTAAAGGGAGATGGCTGGAGGCACAGAATAGGAGGATGAATGCAGAAAGAATACCATTTCAATGAGTTAAACATGGAGAAACTACATACCACAAATGTCTGTAACATCAACCACATCCTGAAAGACCAGAAAACCTACAAATTGCAACACTCACAAAACCTACAGATTGCAACATGCATCACAGATGGAGAGAAAAAAAACAAAACTATTTTCATAATACAAGTAGGTATGGTTAAAAAGCTTTCCAGGGAATTCAACAGCAACCTAAGGATCTGAATAGATGCTCCTTCTCCCTGCAACATTTTCTTATAAGAAGAAACTGTATATAGATAACATTGAATTGTTTTGCTCTGTTTTCTGGAGGGCAAATGCCTCCTAAATTAAAAGATCAAAATAAAAAAAAAAAAAACTGAAAGCTTTAGATGTGAGAAAATGTTTAAGTTTGGGATTTTGGTCTTTTGAAGGGCAGGAATTGTTTTTTGCTTTGATTTGCATATTTTTCACAAAGAAAATATAGACTGACTGTGGTCAGTCCCTTATAATGCCTCATGTTTTTGTATTCAACATTCTAATGTCAAAACTGTCTATAAATCCAAAAAAGTAACTACAAGAGAAAAACTGTCTCATGAATGGGGTTTATATATTAAAATGCTGCATCTTAGGCAATGTAAATCAATCATCATAACTAAAATATAGTTTCAATGTAGTTTTAAACTAAGATATTATCACGCTATCAAAATCAAATTCCCTACTCATATTAGAAAGCACCCACACTTAAGATGCACAAAATAATGAAGTTGCCCGTTCAGATCTACTAATAATTTCAAAACATGATAAATGTCTTAGATACTAAGATCTAAGGTTTACATCAAAAAAATTATTTATTTATGTATTTAATGTTTTAAGAAAAAATGCCTCTTTTGGAAAACCTTCTCCTACCTTATTTTGATTTTAAATGTGAGTTTTGAATTTTATAAATGTCAGAATGAAATATATAGCATCCTGAAACCCCTTTAAAAGGAAGCTAAATGAAAAAGCAATCTAAAAATCTATATACATTTTCCTTCTATTGGTCACCAATGTTATTACTTTTACCTTTTCATTGCAGTATGCAACAACACTGAGACTACACAAATTATTTCTGGATAGAACTATTTTTAAAAAAGTAACTTCTATGCATACTTACACATTCTGTGGCTGTGACTATTAATGAGCTTGAGAAGACGGATTTTCCTCCATTAAAGCTCACCGAAACATCAAGAGTTCTGAAAGAAAATGAAGACACAATAATTAAAAATAAATTAAATACTGGAGAATTATAGAAGGTTTTTATTTCCATATATAAGTCAAGAGTCCCTGCCTGGGTGGTGTAAACAGTTAATGTGTTCAGCTGCTATAACCCAAATGTTGGAAGTTTCAGTCCACCCAGAGGCTCCTGGGAAGAAAGCCTTGGGAATTTATTCCAAAAAACTCAGCCATGGAAAACCCTATGGAGCACATTTTTATTCTGACACACACAAGGTCGCCATGAGTCAGAATCGACTCTGTGACAACTGGTATATAATTCAAGACTGGCCAGAAAGGCTACTCAAAGACTTAAGAGTGAAAGCTTCGGATTAGTGATCCCAGCTTTTCTCCTCCTTGGTTCCAAGCCCTTACTTAGTAGGCAGAGGTAAATTCCTTTAGCGTTATAATCGTTCTTAAAAGAGGCATTTACATAAATTGGGACCATTAAGAAATTTCTTCATCTAGAAAAGTGCTGAGATTGTTTTAGCTTTATGAACACCTAAAATGGAGGAAAAAATCCTTAGATACCATTTAGCTTATTTTCCCCTGTCTATAGGTAGATATTATAGGAGCCCTGGTGGTGCAGTGGTTAAGAGATTGGCTGCTAACAAAAAGGTTGGCAGTTCAAATTCACCAGCTGCTCCTTGGAAACTCTATGGAGCAGTTCTACTCTGTCTTACAGGTTTGCTATGAGTTGGAATCAACTCCGCGGCAACGGGTTTGGTTTTTCGTTTTTTTTTAAATAGATTTTATGGAGCCCTGATGTTGCAGTGGTTAAGAGCTCAGCTGCTAACCAAAAGGTCGGCAGTTCAAATCCACCAGCTACTCCTTGGAAACCCTATGGGGCAGTTCTACTCTATCCTACAGGGTTGCTATGAGTCACAATCAACTTGATGGCAATGGGTTTTGGTTCGGTATGTGCCAGACAAGGCGCCCTGGTGTCACAGTGATTAAGCGCTCGCTGCTAACCAAAAGGTTAGCCGTTCAAACTCATCAGCCACTCCATGGGAGAAAGATGTGGCAGTCTGCTTCCATAAAGATTACTGCCTTGGAAGCCATATGGGGCAGTTCTACCCTGTCCTGAAGGGTTGCTATGAGTCTGAATCCACTTGATGGCAACAGAGCAATGGGGATATGCCAGGCACCATCCTAGGCCTTTTATGGGCATTATCTCACTTAATCTCACAATAGGCCTAGAAGTAAGTAGTAGTTTCACAGTTTTACATATGAGGTACCTGAGGCCCAGAAACGCTAATTATCTTGCCCAAGGTAGTAAAGCTAAGATTCTAACTAGTTCTGAACTCTTTCCAATATACCACAGAAGCATGATGAAATGAAAGTTCTTAATGTGTTTCTTTTGCCAACGTGACATTTACAGTTTGGGCTCCTACAGGAATAGAACCACCAGGAAAGATACTACTAGTGAAGTTTTACCTAAACTCCTCTTCAAAATTCAAGAATAGCCTATTAAAAAATCTCTTGTGGGGAAAAAAATATTTTTAGTTAAATCCAGAAAAGAATAAGAACTTGGGGTGTTCATATCAACTTAACTGAACTTCTGAACTACACGACAGACTGTCAAGTAACTTATTTAAGAAAGAAAACTGAAAACTAATTGCTCATTCTACAGAACTAATTGTCTTGTTTCGTTTCGGTTTTTTAACAACTAAGCATAATTTAATCCAAAAATAATCATTCCTGCTTCCCAATTCCTCCATTTAAAGTGTGTACCAGGAAGCATATGACATGCTAGGCATGGTTTTATTTTCTGGGAAGACTACTTTGATTAATCATAATGTGAGATGGTTATAGCTCGTCTTATTAATTCAACTTTTAAGGCATCAGTAAATATTGACTGAGGCTATTTATTATCTGGCACTTAGAATTCACCAGAAATGAAATCATTTTCTAATTAATGAAAGAAACATTCAATTCTGTTAATGCTTACCCAAATGCAATAAAAGATGAAAAATAAAAAAAGTTCAGTCTTTCCTATAGTATATGAGATCTTGTAGCCAATCAAAATAACTGTACAAAACAAACAAAAAACTCATTGCTGTCAAGTCAATTCTGACTCTTAGTGACCTTACTGGACAGGAGTAGAACTGCCTTATAGGGTCTCCAAGGAGCACCTGATGGATTCAGACTGCCAACCTTTTGGTTAATAGCCAAGCACTTAACCACTGTGCCACCAGGGCTCCAAATAACTGCACATTATCCTCAAATCTCAGTCTAGTATAATGTGACTAGTAAGTGTCAAATAAAACTGAGTTAAGTCTCCCAGTTACGGAAATTCACTTGATGATTCTTTTGACAACGGGACTCAATTAAAACAATATAAATTTTCACTTTCCTGAGAGTAGTAGTAGCATGATAAAAACATTACCATCAACAACAACACCTAGTAATGGCTGGCATTTATTGATTCCTTACTATAAGCCGGACACCTTACACTCACTTTCTCGTCTAGTTCTCATAGCAACCCACTGAGGTTAAACCAAAACCCAAACCCTGTTGCCATGGAGTAGATTCCAAATCATAGCAAGTCTATAGGACAGAGGAGAACGTCCCCAGAGGGTTTCCAAGGAGCGGCTGGTGGATTCAAACTGCCGACCTTTTGGTTAGCAGCTAAGCTCTTAACCACTGTGACCCAGCTCCTGAGGTAGGCACTATCATTATCTCCATTTTCTAGATGATGAAAAAAAGCTTAAAAAGGTAACCTGCCCATTGCACTTCTCTGACTCTGCAGTCGAAGTGCTTATCTTCTTTGCCTACCATCTCAATTCTCCACAAATATTTTAGGGTCTTGTATCTAAAGTTCTCTCAATGGCAAAAGCTTAGTATCACTCTTCCAGTTTTTAATTGTATTTACATATTTCTCAGTGGTTAACTAGAATATTTTCTATATGCTAAGTCAGTATATTCATTATGAATATATATATTCATGAATATATGTGTATATATATGTATATTATATATATTTGAAATTTGCTGGGAAAATTTTTCAGAACTGTTGCAAACATGAAAAATACACTCTAAAAGTGATTTCTGCTTTTAAATTTTGTTGTTTCCTTAGGAAGCAATTTTTGAAATTATTTATATGATATTGGCATTGTCATGAAGCCGGTACCTTTGCCAAGGCTATACTACTCCTTTGCTGGCACACTGATGCAGCCACCTCACTCTGTAACTCAAACCCAACACCTTGACCTGTCTTTGCTCCAAAACTCTTATATACATTATTTAATGTTTTCTTTTATATTTTATGTCATTTCTGTTAGTATCTCTGGATTGTTCATTCCTATTCCTATATAACTTCTAGTTCTGATTAGTATTATTTGACAGAGGAATTTATACTCTCAGTCATAGAGACTTTATAATGGATAAAACTGTACTAAAGCAATAATGTGTTTATATAATTCCAGACATAAGCAAGGGGAGGAATTCACCTTTATTTGTCCTAAGGATCAAATGAGATTGAAAGAGGGGCTAGATTCAGGGAGAATCAGGAGGCCTGGGTCTGAATCCTAGTCATCCACTCTCAATCTTACATTCTTCCATCTGTAATTGGGATAACTACACTTATCTTATTTCAGAGTTATTTGGGGAGGAAAGTTTGATGAAATAATACATGTATGATGTGCAATCTAGTGCCTGGAACACAAAGGTATCTATAAATTACTGCAGCACCTATTCATCGAATGGATTATTCAGAATATCAAGGTATATTACATAAACCTTTTAGATCCAAGCTAAAAAACAAAAACAACAAACGAAAAACATAAAGACTACAGAAATATTTATGAGAAATAAAATAATTACCTAACTCTTTTTATTTAAGAAATATCCATTCCACTTACGTCATATTAAAATATAGAGAACTACATTGCTCAAAATATGCCTAGTATGTACTGTTATGAAGATCCATGTAAAGAAATTTTTCAGTGCTGTTTCCTTCCTGTTAACAGAACATTATCTTGATTAAACCCGACATTATAGCAATGCTGAGCTGTGTGCTGAAACTTCAAAACTAAAACTGTACTGCAATTTCTCAACTATTCTATTACTCATTAATTAAATAAATATTTATTAATTGCTTGTAATAGGCCAAGTTAGGCTGTGCTTGGTAATAAGGCCACAATAACAAAACAGAGTATCAGTGTAACTGAAAGAAAATACATAAACAAACAATTACAATAGAGTGTGATATTTACTAAGACAGGAAGAAGCACAGGGGTACTAGAGGACCATGTGAGAGACACAACCCACACAGCCTTGGCAGGGAGGCATCAGCAAAACCTTCCAGTAGAATTTCACCTCTAAGATGAGTCCTAAAGAATGATCAGGAGTTAGGAAAAAAGATTAGAAAGACATACAAGTAGACAGAACACTATCTTACAGCCAGACAAGAAAGGCATAAAACAGTCAAGGAACGAAAAGCCATTCAATATGCCAGCAACACAGAGTGGGACAGTAAGAAAATATGAACTGAACCAGAAAAGGAGAGTAGGGAAAAGATCATGAAGAACCCAGAATGTCATCTTTAGACATCTGGAATTAGTTTTAAGATTTTTTTTAAGCTAGGTAGAAACAGGATCAGAATTGTGCTTTACAAATGTCACTCTTGCTGCAGTATAGGAAATGGACTGGAAGAGGACATTCCTAGAGTAGAAAGATCACTTAAGAAGCTCTTCCTGTATTTTAAATAAGAACCAAAAGACAACTGAACTAAAATATGGCAAGGAGAGTTGTGTGAAAATGAAAGATTGAAAGATATGAAGAAGTTAGCATAGGTAAGACTTAGCCATTTATTGGATGATGGAGGTGGGGAGGAAGGAAGAGGTAAAGATGACTTCATAGTTTTTGCTTGCCACAAGTAGGCAAGTAGTCTTGCATAGGGAACACAGAATAAGGACCAGGTTTGAACAGAAATACAATGAGTTTAATTTGGGGCCTTCAAGATTAAGGTGTCAATGAG